CAAGCACTGTACATAGAAAGATGTACATGAATATGGGACTATACAGTGTATCTATCCAGTCCTGATAGATATAATAATTTACCAAATATATCAATTAGTAGGTGGTTTCCTGGCAAAATGTGTATCATCACGTATTACTAGTCAAAACATATTCTTCCACATGATTGGTAATAAGAGCTTCCATTTCATTTTTTGAGAGGGGGGGTTGGGTCGTTTCCAAAACTGGTCCTTACCTTTAATAATTATGTTGGACTTCATAGAAGCAGAAAAATAGTGGAAAAGGTCAGTGAAATTTTCAGCAAATACCGATTGAACATAAAGAAGGTCTGCATTTTTGAAGTTGTGATCAATCAAATACAAATTAGCAATTTGAAGTAACCGAAAAAACACAGAACAGAATATATTCAGAGACGCCACGTTCAAAGATCAGCTATGCGTGACATTTTCATGACTCACATACACATCCAACTGTAGAGCTTATAGTGTTTTTTCGAAATCGCGCAAGCCCGTCGTGCGTGAGAGCGTTTCCAGACCCTCGAAATGAGTGACACTTGGTAGCTCTGTTTATTCGTTCATGTAGGCACCTATAGAAATTAAATCAAGTAGCCCAACTTTTCCCAAGTTGAAAATAATCAGTGCCACTTACTGGCTTACATGTTTCTCAGTCATAAGGTTAGATCTACAGTGTACACCTACATATTAGTACAGTTAAAGATTGAATAATGTATACCCTTTAGGGCCTTACCAAGTTTTGTCATTTGTTAAAGTATGTGAGTAATGTGTTTGTCCCGAATTGTATTTCTGGAGAACGTGACACATTAAAGCTTACATCTAAAAGTATTCAACAAAGGCCATAATTCAACCAGTCCACCTTTCATTCTTGAGGTAGGAAAAATACAAAAAATATCAAATTTACAAGGAGCATGATTAATTCAGTTGTTAAAGCCCCTCTAAAGTGTCGGGAGCCCCAAAAATAGCATGGCAAAATTTCAATTAAATTGTATCATAAAGTGAAAGAGGATGTCATTTAAGACACATTTCTGCAAGGATTTTCAAAACAAATGTGTTTGAAGTCGAATATTGATGAAAGAATACAAAATTTAGGTTTTCAGCAGGCGTACATGTACAACAGAAAAAACGAATTATTTCTCTTTTATATCCATGTTTGTCTTCAAACACATTTGTTGGGAGGAAATCTGCGCAGAAGTGTGTTTCAAATGACATCCTCTTTCACATTATGATACAATTCAAGTGAAATGTTGTAATCAAATTTGTGGGGAATTTGGGACTCCCAACACTGTGGGGCTTTTACACACTGTACACTATGACCCTACCATGTGAGATGTACTTTTTCATTTGATGGGCTTGCAGTTGTCTGGTTATCTACATGTTTCTAAAAACATTAAACAAAGTGGTTATTAATTGTAGGGGTACATATATTTGTATTCAATTACTTAATTCATTTTTGTTCATTTTGATTTCCTATCAATTTTTATATTATCAATTCCACCCCTCCCACCCCCCCCCCCACATTCCTTTTTTCTCTCTCTCTCGCTCTCTTTCTCACTCTCTCTCTCCTCAGTTTCTCCATGACACTATGGATACCTCCTAAATGCATTTGATTTTATTTAATTTCTGCTAAAATTACTGGAATAACACGCAGTATGTAGACAGAATGGCAGATTAGTGTCATACCACATATTAGATACAACAAAACCATAATGTTACTTAAATACTGTACATAATGTAATATATACTTCAGCAGGATGTATTGTAAATGTGTGTCAACTTTTGTTTCACGCCTCATTTTCTTAAACTCTGGCAGGAAATTATATATTTCGCAAAGACGGATTACAGTATGGCTAGTTGCAATTACAGGAAATACCAGGCTCATTTCAGAAGCTCCAAGTCAGGATTACATGTGAACATGGGTGCAGGATTACAGGAAATAAAGGAGACAAGCCTGTCCTCACTAGCTCGAGATTGCCAAATATCCTGCTATTTGAACTATCCCGATCGCAAACTATCTAGCTAATTTGCGTCTTCATCAGCTCGAAGTTGCAAATAGCGGGATATTTGGTCGGGATTGTCATCCCCAGATATCTTGGGATAGTTTGCAAAATATCCCACTATTTGGCAAAATATCCAGCTATTTGTCCAGTGCGTCTTCACCAGACCGAAGACTCGCACTATGCGCGAACGCTGAGCAAATATCTCGAGCTTATTTCTCAAGGTCGAGTTTCGAGTTTTGAGGTCGAATCTCGAGCTGATGAAGACGCGATTTGTAACTTTGGGATTATTTCCCACTTAGAAATAGCGGGCTATTTGGCAATCTCGAGATGATGATGACGGGCCTATGGAACTCGAGACATTTCTAATGTAAACATGAACACTTTGATGTGCAGTATGCTCACTTATCCTTATACTGGATGGCTCTTAATACCGAATACCTCATAAATTACCGTATAATTATCTTCTTTATTTTTTTGCTATGTGTTTTGTTATGTTCTTTTGTATTTGTTTCTTATCATATGTTTGTTAGTTTGTTTTTGCTTCGTTGTTGTTGCTGTTGGTGTTTTTGTTTTTCTCTGGTTAGTGTCAATATCCTCTCAGGGTTTGGTGTGCTTTCATGTACACGTACACTGCACACTTGTACATCACACTCATAATACTTGTAGCTTTCTTCTGAATGGTGACTAGGCTATTGCATTCCCCGATCAAATATAATTTGTAGTGTGACTTTATGCAACTTTGATGTTTGTGTAACTTTCATTGTTTCTTTTTATGTATGTATTTTTCATTGTTTTGCTTTTAAAAATGATGTTCGTATTACTGAATCGGTTATTGCTACTGTTGTTTTTTCTCATTGGATAGAGCGTCTCTTACATGTATCTTTTACCTCGTGCAAAATCTTGTACCATTGCACCCATGGTCATTCACTATTTGTATTTGGTCACACTGACCTACCACTCTCATCTTACTCATGATCAATCTCAGGAATGCATCACCTGAGGAGTTAGATCCCTTCTCCAGGAGGCAGTGGTAGATGTTACATTAAAGATAAAGTTGAGTTCAGGTGGGTGTTTCACAAAGATCCTAAGTTGAACTTAACTCTAAGTTGGACTTAACAATGATGGAAAGCCGTCAGCTTCTTTGAAAATATTTTGTGAAAGTCATTCAAAAGGCATAAGATGTTCTTTAATATCATTCATATTTTGATTAACAAGAAGATTTCATGTTCTTGATGTGAAATTTATGAAAAGTCTATAATACTTAAAGTTTTGCTTTGAATATATTTTATTTCAAGGCTACAAATGGCTCTCCATAATTTTGAAGTCCAACTTAGAGTTAAGTTCAACTTAGGATCTTTGTTAAACACCCCCCTGGTCATACGATTGTATTGTGAAAGAAACGGTGTGGAATAGATCAGAAAAAGTTGATCATGAAGTATATCAGTATTGGTGTGTACTGCAGGGTTCTGAAGTTGTCAAAATGACAAGAAATTTGGCCCAGTCGTGGTAAACTAACAAGGACTGTACACAGAAAGAGGTATATGGGACTACACAAACATGTGGCATAAAATTTGGGTTTTATGTTTAAGCTGTTATACTTGTCATATTTAGAAAATTAAAGCATTTGAAGCATTTTTTCTTCCACACTTGCATAATAAAAATGCATAAAAACAACGCTCAAACTATTTTTCACCTCTCCCCAGAACTCAACCTTCTCTTTAAGCAAGGCGGTGTCACTTAAGACCTACTGTTGGTTCAATTTAAAACCTGGGCAACAACCTAACTCCTCAGCTTACACAGATGAACATCTACATGTTCATGTACCAGTATGCAGTGTTCATTGTATTACAGTATGTAGTTTAACTCATTACTTTAATAATAATAATAGTAATAATAGCCTAATAGTCCACTCCAAATTTTATTAAACCGAAACGGAAATTCTTTTTGCCCAACTGATCGTGAGCCCGGCAGCCACTGAGCAGCGCCAGATCGACGTTGCTCTATCCCTTATTGTTGAACGCCAAACAAGGTAGCAACAACTCCCATCTTTTAACGTCTTTTGGTATGACGCGGCCGGGGTTCGAACCCACGACCTCCCGGTAGTGAGGCGGACGCTCTACTGACTGAGCCAATACTCCAGTAAACATGTAATCAAAATTTTCTTAAACAGATCATATTTACATGTACATGCTGATATCAAAGATTTCCAATAGGGTTTTCAGGGAAATCGTTCTCCTTGGGTTCTCAAAGCCTTTCCTACATGTTACCATTCTGGTCTGTAAATTACATGTACATGTACACTGTACTGGCAAGTACTCATTATTATTTTGTCAAAATTTGACACAATGTCTGGGAATATGGGGCTTTTTTTCTTTCTTTCTTCGTTCGTTGATGACATTGCCTTCGATTTTTACTAGCGATAACCGTGGGATAAACAATTATGAAAAGATAGTCTCCTAAATTTCCTAGGATTTTGTTACAATATAACTTTATAAGTTTAACGTTAGAATAAGTCAACTAGGTCTAGATTTACCCCCCCCCCCTCTCTCTCTCTCTCTCTCTCTCTCTCTCTTACTAATGGGGTGTTGCAAGAAAGTTGAGTTGCGATCAATTGCAATTAATCACAAATCACAAGACTTCCACTTGATTTTGGGTATTTGCAAATGATTGCAACTTTCTTGCAACGCCCCAATAATAATATTTCTTCTATTAATAAAGCAGCCCATGCGCCCATATCAATGTCAAGCCTTATTTGTCATTCCATGATTTAAAGTCCCTTATCACATTCACAAACAGGATTTCGATTTCTTTATTACCATTTTTGGTAAAATTGATCCACGAAATATGAACATGATACACATGCATAATAACATACAATACAGCTACAGCGAGCTCCAACCATACCACTCCTACTCCTCGTATACACGCCAGAGCTCAGGCGACCGAAGCCGCTAAGCTCCCGGTGACTCATAAAAATGTATAAATTACCTGCTGGGCAACAGGATCCAAGATTGCTTCGATCGTCTTGGTATGAAAAACCGGCATGACAGATCCTTGGGAAACTCAAAATGGAAGAAAATGTTCCTTTAATTTATGTGAGGGTAATCAATGTCTGAATATTCCGACTAGAAGCCGCAACAATCGTAGATTTTTACAGCTGTCCCGCACTAGTCAAAGTTCCTGCATAGGTTCACAACACAATTACCGCACATACCGGGAATATCGCCGCTCCCCTTTCGTTATCGTTGGTACCTCCCCACCCCTAATGCACCTGTGCATTGGTATACTATCTAGCCCCACCCTCACCCGATTCAGACGGTTAGTCTTACGATGCAGACTAAGTTCACGGTTTATTTTCTTCACTTTATATTTTCACTCCAAACAAAGTCTACTTAATAATAAATACGTGTGCAAGAGCCACTCTTATCCTACTGTGACGAGGAGACACAAAACAAAATTTACATGCTAAAGTGTTACTCTTTGGTTTGGTATTGACAGGTTTCGGGAGTGACATTTGGAATGGTTTTGGTTGAGCGCCAGCTATGGTCAGTTACAGTACAGCAATTCCAACGAAGATGAAGACTTGATTATCTTTCAAGGAAACCTCACATTCTTATTCGGTTTTCCCCTAATTTCTGTAAATAAGAAAAAGGATTCACAAACTTAGTGACAACTGTGTAAAACCATTTAAATATGTGGTAAATGTAGGTTTTCATGTATTTTGCCGGTTTTTGTATGCTCTTTTAAGCCTTTCTTCTGCCCTGTGTCGTCAGTTACTTGCGGAAAGATGTAAAGATTTTGCTGTTATATATCGTGAGATTTCAAATAAAAATATCCCCAAAAGGGCTTAAATTCTGGCACAACACCCCAATGTTCAAAGAAGGACTGGTGACACTTCCTTACAATCGTTTCATGGATGCCGTCTCCCGACCCAGGCATAAGGAAATTATTATTATTATTATTATTATTATTATTATTATTTTTAAAAACATTTTTTAAAACATTTTTTTATAATCTTTAGTTTCATTTAAGCTTAAAATATTAAAATCCTTAATGTATACTGTTCTAATATTCCATCATTTAATTTTCTTCTTAAAGCTGCCTGCCTATGATCATAATAACAGAGAGGTATAAATATGTCAGGATCAGATTTAGATTTGCTTGTTTTGTTCATGTATTCATTGTGTTATGCAGTCGGAAACCAAGAAAAGACGCATTGACTCTGTTTTATCCAAGTTTGGTCGAGTGGATAGCATGTCACCGAACTCAGTGGCGGATCCAGGGGGGGGGGGCACGTGCCAAAATATGCCAATGGCTGACCCCCCCCCCCCCCCCCGCTTATTCAGCGGCTGGCTGAGTCGGTGCGATTTTTGTGGGACTAAAATAAATATATATATATATATATATATGTATTAGGAAGAAAACTGGCGCCGTTTGTAGAAATTGGTATCACTCAGAAATGTTGTGCCTCAGATTTGTTTTGATTTACTATACAAAAGCTTGGTGCAGCCTCACACTACATTATTAGAGTATTAAAGATTAAAGAATGAGGCAACACTAATGAAACAAATATATGATGTATTTTTATGTTTAAAAAATTGTTCTGCGCACTATTACATTTAATTCAATAATGGCACATGCAAAACCAATATTTAAAAAGTTACAGATCTTGAATGTATACCGACCGCACAAACTCAGTATTTGTAGTTTCATGAATGAAGTAGTAAATGGAATTTTGCCTCATTCAATATTGCTCAATCGTTCAGCTCAATGATCGAACAAAGAAAAAAGAAAAAAATTAACTCGAATATACCCAAGGTAAGAACAACCAAAGTAAAATGTAATAAACTTTGGGGTATTTTATATTTGACTTTTCAATCATTTATACATCAGTTGCAGGGGAGGCGATCCCGGGGGGCGGGGGGGGGGGGGTGGACACGTGCCCTCTCAATTTTTTTAGAGGGGGATCGTCCCCCCCCCCTCAAAATTTGAAAAAGTGCAAACAAAAAATGTATAGCACATACTGACTAAAGACTACAACACACTTTGGAGGGCCCAAGAGTGCAGCGTTCAGACAAATAAAAATGCAAAAATCTTGATTGATTGATTGATTTTTATTCGACAAGCTTCCAACATACAACAATATACAATAATAACAGATCAAAAAATAAATCAGCTTGAACAGGATAACCCACGAAAGCTCGAGAGCTTATTTCCAGTGGGGTCCCTTACAGACATGTATAAAATTAATAACTTAAAATAGTAATATTTACAGACAGATAAGAAAATTAAAAGAACTACTTATTAAAGATAATAATAATAATAACAACATTAAACTGATGATAAAAATGATATTAAGTACAAGAAAGAAAAAAAGAAGGAGAAGAAGAAAAAGAGGAGAAGGAAGAAGAGGAAAATAACGATGAATTTGTAGAATTTCTATAACGTACGAAAACATAAGTATATACAACATGAAAAAGTATGAACCGACAGAAGAATAAAAATTTCAATCATATAGCATGTCATTCACTTCTCTTCTCTGACTGTCAAGTATTAGGTATTCCTTTAATTTCTTCTTAAAACGATCATAGTTTCCTATTTCTTTTACACCACTGGGAAGGGAATTCCAATGTTTTATGGCATTGTAATAAAACGAATTTCCAATACTACCTACTCTTTTTGGTAAGTTAAAGTTGAATCGGCTATTTCTTGTATTATAATCATGTACGTCAGTAACAAAATCGAAGTTGGATCGAATATAATGATTCGACCTGGTATGATATATTTCATGATACGGGTTGTTTTGATCTTTGGTCGACTTCAAGAAAACCAGCTTTAGAAAGTTCGCTGTAGCCAACATGAGTTCTTGGACCAGAACAGTTGATAAATCTCACCATTTTGTTCTGTATAATCTTCAACTTCTTTTGATCTAACTTGTTTTATGTTACTATACCACGCAGGGTTAGCATAGTCAAATAAACATTGAATAAGAGCAAAACAGAGTGTACGTCTTGCTTTTAAATCCATACAACTTTGATATCTGTACAAAAATTTCAGACGAGAATTTGCTTTTTTTACAACTGATTCTACTAAAGATGAAAATGAAATTGCGCTAGCCAACTCAATGCCTAAATACTTCACAGGCTCTTTTTCTCTTGATTGCTTGATTATTGTGTGTCACTTTGAATTCAAATGACTTTTTAGAACTTCTTCTCACTCGGTAGCTACGCTCCCTCGCATAATACCCTTCAAACGGTAAATACCGAGAAAATTGAAGTGTGAAAAAGTATTGCTTGTTTTTATACTATAGTTTTGCTAAGGAATATAATTTTTACAACAAAACTTCAAAAACCTGTGAGGGGATAACGTCGGTCACCTTCACCCCTCTCTTTCACTATGCTCCCTCGCACTTGCGTACTGATGTGGGGGGGGGGGGGGGGGGGCTTTGGGGGCAGTTTCCCCCAAATGAAATTAAAAAGTGGTTTATTTCTAATTCGATACCAGTGATTTACTGGTTGCTCATCTGACCGTAATTAAATGCCTAAAATGCCTAAGCTTCCAGCGGCTCTGCCCCCTTGACCCCAACAAGGGCCCCAGGGCAGCCCCTGGATGCTCATCTGATCGTAATTTAATGCCTTAAACCCCTGAGCTTCTAGGGGCTCCACCCACTGCACACCACTCCAATAAGTGACTTACATGCCAGTGTCACAAATAAGGTATCAAAATTTGCTCATATGACCGTAATTAAATGCCTAAAACTCGTGAGCTTCATTAGGATCCGCCCCTTGACACTCCCGGGGCTTTGACCCTGGACCCCACGCCAATTTACGCCCCATTTTGCTTTGCTTTGCTCTACCTGATCGTAAATACTTTAGCCCCCCACCCCCCCCCCCCCCCCACTTTGAAAAACGTTCCCAGGGCTGCGTAACATGTGGTGGTGATTTTTTTTCTGCCCCCCCCCACACCAAACTTTTTTGCTCATTACGTCAGTGCTCCCGTCCATCGCATTTCGCCCCCCCCCCGGTCATGAAAAGAAATCGCCGCCCCTGATCAGTTGTATTAAAGTTTTGTTTGTAATTTGTTTTTCTACGTGTAACGTTTCAAATTTCTTTATTTATTCTGTGTACCAAAGCAGTGTTTTTCCTAGGTTCCATGGTAAGGGGCTTGATTAGCAATAATGCTATATATCCAGAGGTAGACATAAACAGCTCAAGAGGAAATGGTACAAATATAATAAAGGTAACGAGGATATGTCGGTATATCAATAATTAATTGTTCAACAAGTTTTTAACCCCCCTAAATCAATAGATAGGCCTAAATAGAATTCTCTGTTAAATATGCCAAACATAGACTTGGCTAAATTTGTCTTGGTTCCTGTTAGGTCATGTAATACATCGTATAATTGGCGTTAATAAATATCTGAAATTATTAAATATTTTGAAATCAGACCGTATGTTCATTTTGTTATAACTCCGAGGAATCTATAGAACATTTATTTTGGGATTGCCCAATCATTAGATTTCCCCCCCCTTTTTTTTTCTTTTCCATTTGTATACTGATGTCCAACATTCTAGAGGATAAAGTTACTTTGAATGAAATTAATTTGGAAGGTCCATTTAATTGTTATATTTTATATGCCAAATACTTAACTTTATTAAAGATATACACATAATGCTATCCTGTTATGTTATTGTATACAAATAATTATACATATTGTTAAGTGTTTATTATTGGATAACAAATGTCAATTTTAGATTTAAAAAATATACTGTCGAGGAACATAAAAAGGTGACTGTTAGCAAAATTAAGGTTAGCGGATGGGTAAAATAACGTTTGACGAAGGAAGACATAACGGCAGCGGCGAAGCTAGGTGAAGGCTTTTACATACAAGGTGCCCCTACAAAAAGATAAGGGGGGGGGGGTGAGCATAATTTATTTTTTTGGTTTTTGCCCCCGGAAATGTGAAAATCGCGCAGATCGTTATTTTTGCTCAGTGGGAGTGGGGGGGGGGGGGAGGGGAGGGGGGGGAGGGGAGGAGGGGGAGGAGGGAGGGAGGGGGATAATGTGAGCACCAACCAATTTTTTTTAATTTTTTTTTTTACATAAAATGATTTTATTTTTGTGTAATTATATTTTTTTAAAGCCCCCCCCCCCCATGGATCCGCGCCTGATATCGATAACAATGATAATGATGAATAATGATCATAATAATGATAATAATAATTATGATCACTGTTATTATAATACATGTAATAGTAACGATAATAATGATACTAATAATTATAATTCTAATAAAAATGTTCATATATTATCCGTATAACCAAAGGAGTAAATTAATTTGTTCCCACAAAATAACCCAATTTCTCATTTCTCAGAAACTTAAAAGGGTTATCGCCACTGCATGCCCTGTTACCCCTAATATACCGCCCTTGGACATGACGGTGGATTATTAAGTCGATCGCAGATAAAGTTCTGCCCTTCATATTGGTTCCTACCAGTCCGCAGTACATGGCAGAGGTGCAGAAAGTTTCTTTGTGCCTCAACGGGATCGAGAGGCAATCGTGACTATTCTATTAATATGTAAGGGGCAGTAAAAATATGTTTTTGAAAGAAGAAGAAAATACTTATATGCTTATTAAAATATAACGTAATAGTTGCATGTATAAAAACTTGTAATAATAAAATATAGGCAGCTGTTATGCTTTTTTAAATGAAAAAATATGAGATTCTAGGTAATTAAAACATTTACTTTCCAATCCCCCCTATTTACTAATGGACGCGTCCCCCAGCCTTGCCTGGGAAAACTGTATGCAAATTAAGTATTTGCCTTTTGCTCCACATGGCCCCCCTGAGCAAGCCAAGGTCAACATTGGAATGAACTTTTGCTACGATGTTGAAACAAAATACGTTTCTCCCAGCTCAATGTTGTTTTGGGATCGAAACATATCGTAATGTAAAGCTTTTAATGATCGCAACTCTAGAACGAGTCAGCGTTGTTTTGTTAACAAATTTAAGCCGAGATACACAACAGTGTGTGGCATGGGAAAAACCGGAGGTCTGTCGAAATGCATTGTTCGGGCCCAATGGCAAGGCAGTGAACAAAGGACTCGTCGCCCTTGTCTGACCCCGTTATCTAATCCAGGGGGAGGGTAGTTTCGATGGGAACAGCCATTCCCACGGCTCATAATCAACTATGCAAAGTTCCCACGGTGTGCTTTTCAGGAGCGAAACAAGCGGTTGCCGATTTGTCAATCGTATATGAAGTACAAATATTGGATATCATTTTTTATATTCTAGATGAATTTAATGATTTGAATTCATTAAAATAATACTGAGTGACGAAATAAATATTGTTAATGATTTAATTTGTCAATATTTTAAAAATCTGCATGATTTAATGTCATATAAATTTGATGCGCAAATTGATCGTGGGAATTTTTGCCGAGTGGGTGAGAAAATTCGCCCAAACGGCGAACTTGGATGTCTGAAACTTGGAAGAAGAAAACCCAAGAGGCGGAGAAACTTTCCGTCAGAAGGGGATTTAATGTGGTAAATATATAATTATAAGTGCTTACAGTTGTTAAAGTGTAGAATGTATATTGCAGATGAGGTGAAGTGAGTTCGGGATGTTTATCGTGGAATATTTAGTGAGGTATTTACGAGAAAGTTGAACTTCTTAATGGTGGTGATTCTTCAATGATGTACCAGAGCATTTACTGGTAGTACGGCGTTGGTAGTAGTAGCAGTGCACAGGCGCAGGCACTGCACTGAGCTAAGCCGAGCTGAAGTGGGTCTGCGATCATACGAGTACGAGTTAGCCGGTCTGCCGCGTCGCTCCTGCCCATTTCGCCCCTGTATTTGGATGATTTGCCAGGACATGATCGTATACCTATGACTACATGTAGATCTATGTCAGCATTTGTTGAATAACGATTTATAAACTAGAGTCTAGAGTAGTAGTAGAGTTTTATAGTTAATTTTGTTTTATTGAGTGGCCCAGAGAATGAGAGATAGACTACGCACAATTTTGTTCTGGCACCTGCAGTTAACTGGCATGTGTTTTTCCTTATACTGAATAATTGGCATCATTTTACTGAAAATTGACAAGTGCTTTGTCCACACACCATTTCTGCACTTCATCATCATCATGGCTCCTCGTAAACGGGGAAAATTTGTGTCCTTAACGCGGCCGTTTTTCTTCTGCATGTAGAACTTTAGCTTACATTTAGTGCATGTGCATAACGTTCATCCGATCTCAGCGAAGTGCAGCCTTATTTTCCTAAATTGGCCCAGACCAGGACCCTTCTCATTGGCTATCGCTGGCTGACTGCCGGCTGCTGCCATTCGCTCAATGTTATAAGACATTGGTGCGAGGAGAAAGCCATATGGAAAACTTTTAGCCCTAAACGCGCATAAAAGAATACAGCACTAAACAACCGCTTTAATTTAACGAAGAGAGCGCGCTCAAGTGCACTCTTGCGTGAAAGTACACTGATCGGACTAGTTCAATGCGACAAAGCAGGGGTGCGAGCGCTTGCTCTCGTTGACTACTTACTAACACTAACAAACTAGAATTAGAAATGAAACTCACCTATAGTTAAATAAATGCAAAATTACGGTAGACTACACCAGCAGAGGCTTGCCATTACACCGTAGACGAAATCGAACTCATTCCCTTTGCCAATGATTATACTGACTTCCCTCTAGTTGGAGTGCAATGACCCATTCGGGTGCGCATGTATAGACATGATGCGCGTAATGCGGTCTCCGAGATTTTGAGCGCAACGCACACACTCTGTACGCACTGCGTTAAATACACACACTGACCTCTACAGCGATTGCACGGAAGCTATAACTGTGCATTGTTTGTACGGTACGGGCGCACTCGTTGTGAGTAGCTATAGCGCTACACTATCCCAGTCACCTTGGTTTACTATGAAAAGCTACCTTTTATTTGTTGGAAAATTGCCACCGTTTCCCCTCCACAAATGAAAACAATCGTTATACCAACGTAAAGGTGGGATGTCAAGGTTTCTGAATCCGTCCGAAGATTTTTTATACCTCACTCGTGTAAGATTTGCCGACTGGTTGACTGAGCGAAACCCGACAAAAAAGGGGAAAAACAGTGCAATCTCCATAGGCAGGCTGAAAAAGTCAAAACTTTTAGGGGAAAAGTGCAACCGTTTCCCCTGAAAGAATAATCCCAAATTTAGTATCATTTTTAAGACGACATTTCAAATTATAAGAAACCGTCCGAAGATTTTTTTTTTAAAATTCCATTTTCCCGTAATACCAGCAATTATATCAAAACATGGCTTTTTTGGTGTACGTTCCCCGTGCTTAACAGGATAAGCGACGAGGCGCAGAGCAGATGCGCGTAAGTTTTCCATATGTGCGATTTCCTGTTTGATCCGATACCAAAATAAATGATATTTTAATCAAACCCTCTATTTGTTACGATTTTGTTCAGCATCCTTATAAGGTTAAGTATTTCATTTAAGTTTAAGTCTGATGTAACTTTTTTTAAGTTTGAAAAATTCTCATCAAAATTGTAAGTAAAAACTGGTACCAACTGATTGTATGATATCTTACCTTGCAAATTATCAAATGACCTTATTTTTGATGGATCACATTTTTTCAGCTGTAAATACCTGTGCGTGAAGTTATGTAAGGTCTTGTTGTTTTTATCACTTTTTTAGTTCCAGCGCGCACGGCTCCCAACACTGAAATTTTAGATCGCAATATCTCTGTAATCCTTTGACAATAAATTTTCTTGTTGAACCAGCTTGTAGTATAGGACTGTGCAGTTTATTTGTTAATAATCAAAACGAATAAATTTGTGTAGAATATGAGAAATCAAAGATCAAATATCACATTCTCTCATATTTTCAAATCTCTGCAAACTTTGGTCACCCCTTCATACATGTGCATGTGTATCTGTTATACTGTAACAAGGTGATTTTGATGGTCCCAGCTCTCTATATTCGTTTATTTATGTTTTTTTACCCTGATATAACAAGATTCCTGATACATGTACACTGTATAATAATGAATAAATCCCAGGTTGGCCTCAAGGACCTCACAAGTTTCTACTGTACCTGTATATATTTTCTAATTTACAGATTAAAGGTAAAACATAGTTTTGGTATGGGGTCATGAATTTGGTTCAAATGAACATATTGGAAGCATATATGCAATTTTACAATATTCAATGATCGTTGTCCCGGTTAAAATCGTGTCTAAAGTGATGAAATTGTAAATAATAAACTCTTTATGTTGTATACATGTAGCTCCCTCTCAAGAGTAGACTGATATTGCTTTAGCTTTAAAACAATTTTTCTTGACTACAATCGACCGATTTGTTATTCCCGTTTGGAAATTATTATATCACAACTGCATATTGTGAAATTTTGATTATTCAATTTCTCGAAAGCAGAAGTGTTTTAGGAGCTACATTTTTTAGTGATTATAATACATCCACAGGGGCATCCACATATCAAAATTTTAAAGAATTACTATCCTTCCCATTTTCAAAATTTCCCAAAACTTTGCATTACCTTTAATCAGCCAAATGAGCCAATATATGCATTTGTTAGATTCTCATTATAAAAGAAATGCTCATTTTTATTTATTATTTTTATTTCTTGTTTTTGGTCTATTTCAGGTTTTCTGCTTCCAAGATGGGCCCATAGAATGAGACAAGAAACATGTAGGGAACCAGAGCATTATAAGTGAAGAAGATTGGCTAACCAAAGTCTGCTGCATGCTAAAAGTATACTCCTCGTCTGCCATCGTCCAAGCTCTCCTCATAAAAGGCTCTGATTTAAAGCTATTCCAAAGTGAAGAAATTTTTGTAATTCCTTCGTTTAACCCAGTTTATAGAATATAGGGAAAGCTGGATCCAATAAGTAATGTGCTGGATCCGTATTGTTCCTGTGTAAAATGGTAACATCAATTTGATCACGTGGGGCTGCATGTGAGGTGTTAGTACAGTGTGTACACTGTATAATATAGACTAGATGCTGAATATGCAACTCTTCTTTCATCTTTTGTAAATCCAAACGATGTGCCACTGTATCCCAGATGCTTCCAGTTTGTAATTTATTCAGAAATATTCCAAGCAATTGATGCAGCTCTATTTTTATAAAGCAAACATTATGTATTAGCTCTGTGTGCCAAGAAAAGTCTACGCAAAACTCTACATGTGGGACCGGATGACAGTTAAAATGAATGCTGGCTTTGATAAAACGTTAGGAAGCCGGTACTAAGAAAGTAAGAATCCATCGAAACTGCAACAAAAGGACATGTTCATGTATCAAAGAGAATAAAGCCGGTTTGACATTGCAGCAGGACTTTGAAAACCGTTACTTAAACGACAATCAGACTGCAACCTTTTAGCAATTCAATTTATGCAACTCACTAACTCTGCGTCATGAATCAGCATGCAACGTACGAGGCCATCAACCTATCACAACGTGCCATGGGCGTCGCCGGGGGTGGGGACCTGACTGACGACCTGCATATGATGTCACGCGGTCACCATCCAATCATGATGGGCGGAGCTTCAGTTATGTCGTATGGTACTGTTATCCAAATGGCACCAGAGCAAACCAAATATCACAGTAAGTTTCTGAATGTTGCGTCTTTCTATTTATTATGCTGCATGCTCTAGCATTGATTGCATCGAGAGGTGTTGTGGACGAGTGGATATGTCACCGGACTGTGGATCACAAGGTCCGCGGTTCAAGTCCTGCCGCTGCACTAATGTCCTTTGGCAAGACATTGATCTACATTTGCCACTCTCCACCCAGGTGTTAAATGGGTACCCGGTAGGATCCGAAAGCTAATGTGCTTAGATTAGCAAGTGTGCGCTTGTAAAAATGACGCCTGGCTGGAATGCTCCCCAGGAAGTGGAGAACGTGCATGCATTGTGTGCGGGTAAGCCTGAATCCGATGACCGGGGTAATATATATATATATCTGTAAAGCGCTTTGATAGGGCCTTCGGTCCTGAAAAGCGCTATATAAGAACTAGCTATTATTATTATTATTGCTGTGTGTCATCAAATTCCTAACTTTAAGAAACCTTCGACATGAACCCTTTCACTAAAACTCAATTTTATCCCTAACCATAACTTAATAACTTTGGTGAACAGGAAAAGTATGGATCAAATCTGGCTATATAAATCCAAACTATTGATTATTATTATTATCTTTGAAGATAACATTTTTCCAACATTACCTGTACTTTTTGAATACATGTACATGTACATCTACTGTATCTGATCATATTTTTTTTTTTTTTTTTTTTTTTGGTGGTGTTATGACAAGAAGAAGAAATCAATAGAAGAAGTGCTGAGTATTTGTAAACTTATTCAATAAATGAATAATAAGGCTTGTTGCCTTATTATTCATTTATTGAATAATTAGATAATTTACCTGAATGGCCAAACTTTGCATGATCAATGAACTACTATTACATGTAGATCAATATTGTTGACTCGATGTACATATAAGCACATGTACAGGCATTTCATTCTCAGCTTCATAATTATTCATATGTTAAATGTATAAATGTGTCACACGGACGGGGGGGGGGGGGGGGGGGGGGGGGGGGGGGTCCTTACCAAACAAAAGATAGGATGGCAACTTAAATTTTACCTATTTCAAACAAAAAAACTACCCCCCCCAAAAAAAAAATAAAAGAAAAAAAAATGTTTTTCTTCGCCCTACCCCCCCCCCCAAAAAAAAGTGCTCTTACCCCACCGCCCCCCCCCCCACACTTCTTTTTAAAAGTGGCCAGCCTACAACCGTATGCAATACCTTGGTTTTATGTAAGTTCTAATAATAGGGCGACTGGTGTAGTAACGTATTCATGTGTACATGTACATGTAGGTCAAATGAAACAGTGTAACCAGGCCGCCCCCCCCCCCCCACCTCCTAATAACCATGGGAATGTAAGTACCGTGGGAAACAAATAAAAAGCTGTGATCCTAAACCTCTGTACAGTATGTCTGGTTTTGAAAGTCAAAAGGGAGAGGAAAAGAAAAAATGTTTGGAGGCATAGTCAGGACTGCATATATCGTAACTGTAACTCTGCAGATCTGTATTAACTGGTAAAATGCAGGTCTTTGTTAAATAGTTTGTGCTTGAAGGAGGAATTATCCCTTCCTGGAAATCGGATGAGGTACAAACTGTTAAACATGTATGTACAGTGTACAGTATGTACTGTTCAGTAGTTCAGTAGAAACAACTTATTGAAAGAACTTGATATCTTTTGACAGTACAAAAGTAAAATTGTAACTCTCTTGGAAGTCAAAATTGCTATCGACATGTGGAGTCTCTGATTGGTATTAAAAAATGCATTCATATTCAAAGCTATCCCATTTGTTAACTACAAACAAAATCAAGGAACTCATTAGGCCCTTTTTCAACTTTTGTGATGAAGCAGACTTTTTTCTTCTCAGGAAGACTTAAACAAAAATATGTTATTAAAATGATTTTAGAATATAAATTGTTATTATTACTGCCTTACCAAAGGGCACTAGCACATCGACTTGGTTTCGAACCCAGTCACCGGATTACGAGACCATTGCTCTACCAACTGAGCTATCGCGTCATTGGATATTTTCTATCAAAGTCCTCATCTCCATGTACAAGTACACTTTGCCATACCTCTTAATTAAAAAGAAGAAAAAAAAATCATATTATACATGGTAAGCACAGAATACAATGGTCTGCAGGATAGTCTTGAGAAACAGCCCTCGTATTTTTTCTTTAATAATAAATTATCAAAAAAATGTAAATTCTGTAGGTTTGAGACCATGATTTTTACGTCCAATGCCATTAAATGGTGAGAGCAAACAGTGGCATGAATGGCCTGCCATATTCATATCTTAGTCCTTGTGAAACACCCCCAGTTGTTACATTTGATAATTGGATTACTATGATGTTTCACCGTCTTTCATTCAAGGGTGATTCTGATGTACAATGTACATGGAACAATGGCATCGCCCTCATCAAAGTGTCTGAAAAAATAGACTAGGCATTGGATGATGTTCATTAGTCCATTGTGCTGCTGTCACAGGCCTCAATTTTCCCATCATTGGTATAGTGTATAGGGACTGCTTGCCCATCATTGGTATAGTGTGTAGGGACCTGCTTGCTCACAGACAAGGGATACCCGACTCATAATTATCGATTCAAAATAGACAACTGCACAGGCATCATTTTCAGGAAGTAGATTCATATGACGATTGAATTGGACTCGCATTTATTTCATTCTCGATGAAAAATTACATTGATACAAAAGATACAAAATTATTCATGAACAAATTTAGAAATGAAATGGGGGAACTATAGATTAACAACAATTATCAGCTTGTTTGGCATACATTTGGAGTATTTTTGTTAGTATGTAATTTCTGATAGTATATTATTCTGGAAAGTCACTGCAATTCAAATGATAATTGACAATGGAAAATGGGGTAATGTGTGGAGCATGTGCTGCACCTTCTGCTCTGCTGTTTTCTTTGCCAACATTTGTACTGTACAGTTCATCCCACCTCTCTTCATTTGAACACTATATTAAAGACACGGAGCAATATTGGATCCAGAATGTGGTCCAATATATCATTTTGAATTAAATAATAATAATAATAATAGTGTAAACTTATAGAGCACACATATGTAATATTGGGGTGTGCTCGATATTCATAAGGACCGCTATTTATAAAATATTGCTCCCGCGTTATGGATAGCGGTCCTTATGAATAGGTAAATTGTCTATGATTTGCTTGCTATTTATAAGGGCCGCTAGGATTGCTATTCATTTAGTTATGCGTTATGGATAGCGGTCCTTATGGATAGTGAGCTTGACCCGTAATATTAAAGGGGCAGGAACAAAACAAAATGCATTTTTGGTTAGAGTTAAAGGTAAAGACCAGTTTTGGAAACACCCCCCTCTCAAAAAATTAAATGGAAGCTCTTATTACCAATCATGTGAAAGAATATGTTTTGACTAATACGTGATCATAAAAGTTTTGCAGAGAAACCGCCTGCTAATTGATATATTTGATAAATTATTATATCTATTTGGACCTGAAAGATATATCGCACGTGTCGTGCACGTGTGTAGGTAGTCCCATATACATCTCTCTGTGTACAGTGCTTGTAACTTTATCAAGACTGGGTCAAATTTCTTATCATTTTGATGATTCCAGAACCTTGCAGAAGTTGCAGTACACACCAATACTTATGCTAGATGATCAACCTTTTCTGATCGATTCCACAACATTTCTTTACAATGCAATCGCATGACCATTTAACGGGTCTGTATCTTTAAAATAGAAACTGCTGTGAACTTGAGAGAGCAACAGTGAAAAAAATACACGGGGGCTCAGGGCGAATTTGCCCCCGAATTGCCCAAAAGAGCCCCCGAAAATCAGAAAAGAGCCCCCGTAAATGTGCATCGAGTTCAATGCAAAACAAATTTTAGAGTGTTATTTTTATGCAGGCAAGCTTGAAAAAACAGCCCCCGAAAAATAAATATTAATTTTTTCCCTGGAGAGCAATGTTCTTACTGTCATATTACACACATGGGAATATGAGAATTACATATTCTTATTCTTGCATGTACTGTACAGTACATGTATGTTTTCAGGTTGTTCGTCCGAGGTCAATTTCTGAGATTCTAGATATTAGCCTTGTTATCGTGATATCTCAAGAACCACTTGAGATATGAGGCTCAAACTTGGTGATAGTATGGGCCATCATTGTAACACAATCTAATTAGATGTTCGGTAAGTAGGTCAAAGGTCATAGAGGTCAATTACATTTTTGGGCTATTACATTGTAGGTCAAGATCATAGTCAGTACCTAGACATTTTGTTTTCATTGTTACATACATGTACATGTACATGTATTGTATACAGATCATATCCATTTCCTATACTGAATTTAGGGCGGAGGCATATTATTTTAATCTTCTTTCTTTCTTATGATGATTACCTGAACTGCTAAAGATTCATTTGTGCTTAATTGATTTGATTATTTTGTCTGATTCAGATTCAGCCAGTATCCCGTCACATGCACAACAAGCCTTAGGCATGGTTGCCAGGACGTCAAGCCCTCACCATAGCAATACCATAGCAACCTCAGTACATAGCCCTCCAAGCCCCGCCCCTAGCTCCTCCCCTCCCAATACAGGCAGTACAGCTATGCACCCAGATGAACTACATTCAAGGTACGTAGGAGAATTGCAATTGGTCTGAAACCCTGTTCCCATCTGAAAAGTGCATTGTAACCGACAGAAAAAAACAACTTTGGCGAAACTAAAACCAATTTGCCAGCAGGGTTTTAAAAAGTTACATGTACATTATGCAACTGTGTGTGGATAAAAGATGAGAATGATTTTTGAGATACGATGGTATGGACTAAATTACAAATTTACAGAGGAATCTGAACAAACTAGAGGAATTTCTATGCTGTCCCATATTAGTTAACAATAATGTTTCTTAAAGATAAAGTTGAGTTCTGGTAGTATGTCATGCGATTGCATTTTGAAAGAAACGGGTTGGAATCGATCAGAAAAAGTTGATCATGTAGCATATAAGTATTGGTGTGTACTGCAAGATTCTGGAGTCATCAAAATGATAAGAAATTTGCCCCATTATCGGTAAAGTAACAACCACTATACACAAAAAGATGTATATGGGACTGCTCAAACATGTGGCATAAAAATAAGGGAACATTTTTTTCTCTGATGTTCTTCCACACTTGTGCTAATAACAATGATAACGCTCACAAATTACTCGTCACCTCTCCCCAGAACTCAACCTTCTCGTCAAGTACTTGTATTAGTGGAACCCATCTTGAGTTTCAAATGTTTGAGCCATATTTTGCTTTGGCATTTCAAAATGACACTGCTGTCTTTTTATATTTCTTCTGAAAGTGACATCTGTTCTTGCTGGAATTTTACTGTGATGTTCTTGTATTGCACTCTTGTATAAATGTACTATAATATAAAAGAAATTGCTGAGAACAGTGATGATAACAGTGATCAGTACAGAATATGAGGAATGCAGAAATATGTTGTTTAACTGAATTCTTTGCAGACAATAAATATTATGTGAGGATCCCACTAAATTATTTAACTTTTAAAAAACTACATTGCAGTGAACCGGATGCACCAAAAGCACTCAAGCATGCTGGATTTGTTTTCCAAAAATACAAAGTTCCATGAATCTTTGTTAAAACCCGTTTATAGAAATGTACTGCTAGATCTTATTCCCCATAGTGGAAGTTCTGAATGACAAGGAAGATCTATCAAATGTTTGCACGAAAGGTGACATTTTGAGGCTTGAAATTCTGAAAAGAATGTACAAACCCAATTACATTTGGAAGTGCCCCCCCCCCCCCAACAAAAAAGAGACAGAAGCCCGGGAGATTGGGACCTTTGAACTTAGAGTCTGAAATTAGCTATTGTAAATGTTGATGAAAAACAAACCTACAAATTACAAAACAACAAAATAAAAAAAAACAGAGCTTCCAATCGAATTATTTATGCCAGTTGGTTGCAATGTACTGTACATGTTAGAAATGGCAGTAATGTTTGATCTTATTGGTAATTTAAGTAATGTTAATTTGTTAAGTTATGTTAGTAATATTTGATCTAATTGGTAATTTAAGTAATGTTAATTTGTTAAGTTACGTTAGTAATATTTAGTTTTCTTGGTAATTTGAATAATGTTAATTCCATTAGTAATATTGATTTTTCTTGAAGTAATTTGATTTGTGTACAGCGCTTTGAAACTTTTATGTCGCAAGTGCTATATAAATTTGTTTGTATTATTGTTATTTACTGTATGTCACTTTAATTTATATTTACATACTTTGTACAACATTTTGTGAATTATGACTTACACGTACATGTGAGAAAAAGCCATGAAAATATATTGATTATGTTGAAAGTCTGCCTCCCACTTTTTAGCTCTCACTCTTTCTTCCATGTTTCTCTGCAGAGGCCAAAGATTAACCAAAGAATCGATGAAGAAATACCTAGAGGACCGATGTCATCAGACAGTCGTCATACAACATGCCAAAGTAGCCCAGAAGTCGTACGGGAACGAGAAAAGGTAGATAATAATAATAATAGTTCGTTCTTTTATAGCGCATTTCAGGACCAAAGGCCCTCTCAAAGCGCTTTACAATGTACAATGTACATTTACATAATTACTTGAAGCATTCATCAAAAAGGTGAGTTTTCAGCGCTCTCTTAAAAACTTCAACATCAGTCATGGAGCGTAGCGACACTGGGAGAGCATTCCAAAGTTTTGGTCCATCACATGCAAAATGCCCTGTCATCATAGGTTTTTGTGGCTCCATGATTGAGGGTGAGAAGGTGACTGCAAACGCCTTGGTGGGATGTACGGTGTGAGCAAATCTGAGATGTACTCTGGACACATGCCATGGAGAGTTTTGAAAACGATTAGAATTACCTTGTAGCGGATCCGTAACTGAACTGGCAACCAGTGTATATCTCTTAAGATAGGTGTTATGTGTTGAGACCTCTTCACTCTTGACACTAAGCGAGCTGCAGAGCTGCAGAGGGATAAATTTCAATCGCTCAAGACATTTTGGCAGTCTAGTTTGGTCCTGACCAGGTTTAAAGGTGTAGACCAGTTCTTATCATGCGATTGCATTGTGAAAGAAACGTTGCGGAATTGATCAGAAAAGGTTGATCATCTAGCATAAGTATTGGTGTGGACTGCAAGGTTCTGGAATCACCAAAATGATATGAAATTTGGCCCAGTCTTGGCAAAGTTACAAGCACTGTACACAGAAAGATGTATATGGGACTATGCGATATGTATCCAGTCCGGATAGATATAATAATTTACCAAATATATCAATTAGTAGGTGGTTTCACGGCAAAATTTGTATCATCACGTATTAGTCAAAACATATTCTTTCACATGATTGGTAATAAGAGCTTCCATTTCATTTTTTGAGAGGGGGGCGTTTCAAAAACTGGTCTATACCCTTTAATAGACAGTGCAGAAGCATTATATTTAAATTTTCTGGACTGCTAAGAAAGTAACAAGCAGTGAACATTGGCTTGCTTTATTAAAGTCCTATGTATCTTTAATACGGTCATGGTAATTGAGAATTCATATCTTATTAAAAAGCAATATTAGATAGCTTTTAAAGATATGTGATTGGTCCACAGGGCTTCACATGGTTTCGATTGCGAAGATCGTGATAAGAATATTTCACTCCCGGTCATTTTTCGATAGTTTTATTTAACCATATGATGAAATGAGTTAATTGTATTCACTATGACTGAGCCAACATGAGTAGGTTTAATTGCATTTTCTTTTTGTTTTGTGTAAATGTAATTGTTTATCATTGTATTTTGTTTGTTATAGCACTTAGAGACTTCAGTGGTAAGTGCTATATTAAGGCCCCTCCCCCCCCCCCCCTCGAATAAAAAATGTTGTATTGCCCTTTAGTTGCCAAAACATGGGTCTGTCGGAAATCTTTTTTTTCCTTTTTTTTAAATATTTTTTTAACTCCCTCTTTGGGCTGATATTTCTCAGTTTTGAATGCTTTATTACATTTTTTTCCTAAAAAACGGTAAAAAACAAATTAAAAAGCCGACCGTCGATTTCAAAATGTTTGGGTCGGTCGCAAAGGGCAATACAACATTTTTTATTCGAGGCCTTAGCGCCGTTTGTATCATTATTAGTATTATTATGATAATGTTTTTGCTGTTTTTTTTAAGGTTCTTCTGCCCTCCTCCATGCATCTATCTGCTGAACCCTGGCTGGAAGAGGAAGCGAGAACAGATGCTGAAGGACGGAGAGACGGAAGCTGGGAGCCAAGTCTGTGCCTTTATTGGGATCGGTAACAGTGATCAAGACATGCAACAACTCAACCTGGAAGGAAAGGTATTAAACAGGGGGAATCAATCGATCGATTGATTGATTGAACTGGGGCCCGTCTTACAAAGACTTATGATTGATCTCAATCACTTCCAAGTCCTCCAATCAATCGCAAGTTTGCAGTCTCCTATCTCCTATGCACATAGTTACGATTGATGTCAATGGCAAATAAGTTGTGATTGATATCAACTCTTTGTAAGACGGGGCCCTGGTTTCAATATAGCAACCAAAGGCTGAAGCAAATAATTGAGTTTACAAAAGATTAAAAATGACATTAAAATACAATACACTGAAATTTGGTTAGATAGAATACAGTATATTGGACATTTATATATCTATATATACTCAACCATGTGGCATAAAAAAAATCTGTCCCGATTGTTATGTTATGCCATATTTAGAATATTAGGGCATTTGAAGAGACATGCTTTTTAGGGAACATTTTTACTATGATGTTCTTCCACACGTGCATAATACAATGATAACGCTCACAAATAATTGTTCACCTCTTTCCAGAACTCAACCTTCTCTTTAATGTCTTTGTTATTTCCTTCTTACTCTTTCTTACAGCGCATAGAGACATATTGTGATATGCACTATATAAGTATGGTATATTATTATTTTTATTATTATTTCAGGATTACTGTGCAGCTAAGACGTTATATATCTCCGACTCGGACAAGAGGAAGCATTTCTTCCTGAGCGTGAAGATGTTTTATGGTAATGGAGAAGACATAGGAATGTTCAACAGTAAGAGAATCAAGGTCATCTCAAAACCTTCCAAGAAAAAACAATCACTCAAAAATGCTGACTGTAAGTATGTCCTTTAATCTGATTACTTGTGTTCTCTCCCTCTCTCTCTCTCTCTCTCTTTCTCTTTCTGCTTCCCTCCCTCTCTCTCTTTCTCTCTCTCTCTCTTTCTCTATCTCTCTCTTTGACGGAAATCGCCGAAATGAGACAGCAGATATCGGCAATTAATGCAAGGATTTAAACTCTTAAACTCACTCCAAGTGATCTATGTGATGGAGTTAATGCAATTGAGATTAGAATATACTTTTTTTTGGTGGACAGTTGCTAAAATCGATTTTGATTTATCATTATTGATTTACCAATAGAAGCCATTGGACTCTCTCCTTTTCTCTCTCTTTCTGCTTCCCTCCCTCTTTCCCTTGTACCCCCTTCCTCCTCCTTGTGCAATCTCTCTCACTCTCTTTCTCTCTCCTTTTCTTTATCTTTCTGCCACCCTCCCTATTTCCCTTCCCTCTTCCTACTCCTTTTTTTCTCTCTCTCTCTCTCTCTCTCTCTCGCTCTTTCTTGTTCTGTCACCCTCCCTCTTTCCCTTGTACCTCCGTCTTCCTAGTCCGACACCAGGGCAAAGTTTCATAAAACCGTCAAAAGTACAAGTTCACCCACATCCCATTGAAACATGTGTTAAACTTAATACACGCATTTCAATGGGATGTTGGTGAACTTGTACTTATGACGGTTTTGTGAGACGCTGCCCAGACCGACAAGAGGCCAAACAAATTGTGATAATACCCTGAAGGCTGAATGGCCAGGAATTACTCACTTTGCAGTTGGTTTGGCGATGTGACTGAGTTCAATTTCTGTCTATCTCTCTTTCTCTTTCTGCTTCCCTCCCTCTGTCCCTTGTACCGTCCTCTTCCAATATTTTAATGTCCTTTGGCAAGACATTGATCTACATTTGCCACTCTCCACCCAGGTGTTAAATGGGTGCCCAGTAGGATGCGAAAGCAAATGTGCTTAGATTAGCGCTTCTAAAAATGACGCCTGGCTGGAATGCTCCCCAGGGAGTGGAGAATGTGCATACATTGTGTTCGGGTAAGCCTGAATCAGATGACCGGGGTAATAATATGATTGCAGGGCCCTCAGGGAGAACAGTATGAATACTGATGAGGCTACCCTGGGTAAACAAGACATATTATTATTATTATTACTTACATGTATACTATTTCCCTCTATTGCAGTATGTATTCAGTCCGGGTCGACCGTGGCGCTCTTCAACAGACTGAGATCGCAGACGGTTAGCACCAGATACCTACATGTAGAGAACAATAACTTCAAGGCAAGCTCACAGCAGTGGGGAGCATTCACGATACACCTCTGTAAGTATACAGAGAAACCTATACAGTGCGTCCCAGAAAAAACGAAACCGAGAAGTATCGATGTTTTATCATAACTTAATCACAACCATAATTAATGAATGATACATATTTGGAAAGCTTAGAGTCTCCTCTTTTAGTTGATGCTACTCAGATGATGCATATTTCACACACGAGTGATTAAAAGCAATTTGAAGGAAGGAAACCAAAAAGTCATTTGGCGGACGATATCTGAATTTTGAAGAGAAAATCACATTTCTAGAAAGTTGAGTTTCTGCCCTTTCATATGACACCTCCATCAGGAAAAATGAGCCAGGAATAACAAAGTTCTGTTTGTTTAAAGTAGCCCTTACATTTTCATAATTTTAACAAACGAATTCGTTTTCACTGGGTGCCTGCCGTAGCAAAAAGCAGATTTGTGATTAAGTTATGATAGAACATCGATACTTCTCGGTTTCGTTTTTTCTGGGACGCACTGTATATCAAGAAGCAGTCATTCGATATAAGCAGGTGGTTTTAAAGGTATAGACCAGTTTTGGAAACGCCCCCCCCCCCTCCCCCCCCCCCCCTCAAAAAATGAAATGGAAGCTCTTATTACCAATCATGTGAAAGAATATGTTTTTACTAATATGTGATGATACAAATTTTGCCGGGAAACGGCCTACAAATTGATATATTTGGTAAATTATTATATCTATCCGGACTAGATAGATATAGGGTAGTCCCATATACATATTTCTGTGTACAGTGCTTGTAACTTTACCAAGACTGGGTAAAATTTCTTATCATTTTAATGATTCCAGAACCTTGCAGAACACACCAATACTTACCGTATTTGCCGGCGTAAAGGCCGCGGTATTTTCGGAAGAGAAAATATAAAAAAGTCGGGGTGCGGCCTTTACGGCTAAGCAGAAAAAAAAAGTCAAAACCAGCACGAATTTGTACATATGGGACTAGATCTACGAACGGTACAATTACTTTACATTTCCACACATCTTACCGACAATTTTATCTTGCATTGTTGACATGAAGACGAAAATAAACTTCCAAAAACAACATCTGCCGATAGATTTTGATCTACGTTCGTGCCAATGCATTGCAAAAGTAAAAGAAGGGTTTAACGGAGCCACCGCGAAGCATCTAGCACGCGAAGTCGCCATTTTAGTCACATCAACATTTGTACACAAGAGATCGAATCCCGACTTTGGCAAAGTTTTTTTTTTTTTTTTTTTTTTTTTTTTTTTTTATATGTCAAAATTGGGGGGTGCAGCCTATACGGCGCTGCGGCCTTATCGCCGGCAAATACGGTATATGTATATGCTAGATGATCAATCTTTTCTGATAGATTTCACAACATTTCTTTCACAATGCAATCGCATGACCATAACTGGTCTTTATCTTTAATGTCCAGGTTCCTGTAGTGAGTTCTCTTATTTCATTCCAGACTCATATATTATATTTTATAATGGAAATACTGTATGAGCCATGATTTCTATGCATTTCCATGAATTGTAGGATGCCAAATTCAGCAAAATATAAAATTGTAGTAATGCTTCTTTGACCATGTACATGTAGGTAGTAGCCTGAGTGTTTTAATATCAAGAAAATAACAACCTGCAAACTATATCCATCCCTGTCATAAGCGAAATGTCTGTTGGAAATTATGTTTGCTTATACAGTAATCAGTATTGAATAATACCATATTGTATATTCAGTAACAATTCAGCCGTAAAGGTTGCTAGTATTAAATGAAATAAATCTTGAATCTTGAATCTTTAGGGGATCCGGTAACTTTGTCTTAGATCCTTTAAACAAACCCTTGATTTAGCTCATGCTGCAAAGCCTGCAATGATGATTATAAACCTTTAGGTCAGTTAGGAACCCTGTGACTTTTACAAGCCCATCGCCTGTGCGATTATCAAGATATTTATGATTGAAAATTGAAATCACATTTTGCGTTTTGCCAAACGGTTTTCATAACACTACAGTCTATTGGGGAAAACGAGTATGGTTAAACCAGTCATTCAAAGGTTTTTACTTTTTTGAGGCACTTCTTGATCATTTTGAAGAGCAATTTTTTGTAGGGCTTCAATATAACACCATATCACAGACACTGATAACATGTAGGGCCGTGCATCTCAGATTTAACATTGTTAAACGATCCCTTTAATAATTTGTTCTTTGTTCAATTTGTGATAATTTGGTAGTATGAAAACATGATGGAGCTGTATTCTTTTAATACTACCATCTTGGATGGACGAGCTCAATAACAAAATAAAACAAGCTTTTTGGCTGCACTGCCTTTTCCTCGGTATTATCTTATTCTTTTAATGCAACCTTCTTAAAATCGTGATGATTGTTAAATGTTATGTTGAAATGTAATTATTTGTCTGTATTTATATATTTATGTACATGTATAGCACCTTTAAATGTCCGAAGACAAATTTTATGTACCGTATTTGCCGGCGATAAGGCCGCAGCGCTGTATAGGCCGCACCCCCGATTTTTGACCAAAAAAAATTTGACTAAAATCACCGCCTTAGACTGCTCGGCCATCCCGCACCGATGCTAGTTTATGTAGTTTTTTTGTGATCTATACATTGTGCCTCTCTCTTGTGTATTGAAATGGATTCAAAATAGCAACTTTGCGTGCTGGATGCTTCGTGGCAGCTCCGTTAAACGGGCCCTTCGTTTACTTTTGCAATGCATTGGCATGAACTTAGATCAAGATCTATCGGCAGATGTTGTTTTTGGAAGTTTATTTAGATCTAGTCCCATATGTGCAAATTCGTGCTGGTTTTGACTTACTTTTTTAAATTTGTTTTACTCTTCCGTCGCATACACACTGTAGGCGGCACCCCGACTTTTTTATTTTTTCTCTTCCAAAAAATACTGCGGCCTTTACGCCGGCAAATAGGGTATTTTTTTACATGACAATAAATTATGTTGAATCTTGAATCCTAATCTCTTGCAGTGGATGATGATGAATCAGAAAGTGAGGAATTCACGGTTCGAGAGGGCTACATTCACTACGGGTCTACCATCAAACTAGTGGATACAATCACTGGTATGGCCCTACCAAGACTGGTAAGTTAACCCATCTTAGACCTCCTTACATGAAGGCTGGGATACTTTGTATACTATGAGAAAGGATTACAGTCTGCAAAGAGACTGGTAAGTTACCCATCTTAGACCTCCTTACATGAAGGCTGGGATACTTTGTATACTATGAGAAAGGATTACAGTCTGCAAAGAGACTGGTAAGTTACCCATCTTAGACCTCCTTACATGAAGGCTGGGATACTTTGTATACTATGAGAAAGCATTACAGTCTGCAAAGAGACTGGTAAGTTACCCCTCTTAGACCTCCTTACATGAAGGCTGGGATACTTTGTATACTATGAGAAAGCATTACAGTCTGCAAAGAGACTGGTAAGTTACCCATCTTAGACCTCCTTACATGAAGGCTGGGATACTTTGTATACAATGAGAAAGCATTACAGTCTGCAAAGAGACTGGTAAGTTAACCCTCTTAGACCTCCTAACATGAAGGCTGGAATATTTTGTATACAATGAGAAAGCATCACAGTCTGCAAAGAGACTGGTGATTGAACCTTGAATGGATTGACAATCAAACAAGTGAATACAATCACTAGCATGACCCTCCCTACCAAGCATGGTGAGTGAACCTTGTTAGATAATTCTACCTCACATGCTCAGATGATAATATTCCTAACTGCAGCACCGAAGCAAACATTTTGCCTAACCCAAACACTCTATCTTAGACTCAATAATGTCTAGAGCTGTTGTTACCAAAGCAAATGTAGGGTTACCTGTATGAAAGGATGGCATACTACTTTCAACCCGGAAGTGAATGTGGAAGAAAGCAATATTAATCCCATCTGGGGGATGTTTTTACAAAGATTCTAAGTTGAACTTATCTCTAAGTTGGACTTAACTCTCATTGAAAGGCGTTAGCATCTATGTAAACATTTTTGTAAAAGTTTTTTAAATGGCATAAAATTTTGATTTAGATCATTCATATTTTCTATTATCAAGGAGATTCCATGTTCTTGATGTGGAATTTATAAAACGTCTAAATTACTTGAATTATCGCTTATGAATATATTTTATTTTGAGGCTACAAATGGCTCTCCATAATTTTTAAGTCCAACTTAGAGATAAGTTCAACTTAGGATCTTTGTGAAAAACCCCCTGCTTTATATTTTCTTCTCTTATTTGAACAGATAATCCGCAAAGTTGACAAGCAGATGGCTCTGATGGACGCTGATGATCCGGTCTCACAACTTCACAAATGTGCATTCTACATGAAGGACACTGATAAGATGTATCTATGCCTCTCACAAGAAAGAATTATACAGTTTCAGGTGAGTCAATATATGGCACAAGAGAGACACAAACGTGCATTCTACATGAAAGACACCGATAAGATGTATCTATGCCTCTCACAAGAAAGAATAACTGTATTTGCCGGCGTAAAGGCCGCAGTATCTTTGGAAGAGAAAATATCAAAAAGTTGGGGTGCGGCCATGCGGCGAAAGAGTAAAAAAAAAAAAATTTAAAAGTCAAAACCAGAACGAATTTGCACATATGGGACTAGATCTACGAACGGTACAATAACTATACATTTCCCCACATCTAAACGACAATTTTATCTTGCATTGTTGACATGAAGACGAAAATAAACTTCCAAAAACAACATCTCCCGATAGATCTTGATCTAAGTTCGTGCCAATGCATTGCAAAAGTAAAAGAAGGGCCCGTTTAACGGAGCTGCCGCGAAGCATCTAGCACGCGAAGTCGCTATTTTGAATCCATTTCAATACACAAGAGAGAGGCGCAATGTATACATCACAGAAAACTCCATATGCTAGCATCAGTGCGGCATGGCCGAGCAGTCTAAGGCACTGATTTAGTCACATCAACATTTGAACGCAAGAGATCGAATCCCGACTTCGACAAACATATTTTTTTTTATTTTTTTTTTTCCGAGCGTTCTTAGGCTGTGATTTTAGTCACATCAACATTTGTACGCAAGGGATCAAATCCCGACCTCGACAATTTTTTTTTTTTTTTTTTTAAATGTCAAAATCGGGGGTGCGGCCTTATCGCCGGCAAATACGGTATACAGTTTCAGGTGAGTCAATATATGGCACAAGAGAGACACAAATGTGCATTCTACATGAAGGACAATGATAAGATGTATCTATGCCTCTCACAAGAAAGAATTATACAGTTTCAGGTGAGTCAATATATGACACGAGAGATATCAGGATTTGCGCGTTTTGTGCATGCTAACCTGTTCATCTATCTAACCCTGTAAGTTGGGGCTTTGATCGGATCGGAAGATCGGAGCGACACCCTCGCACCAGTGATCGGTATCGGCAAAATTTTTTTTTGGGCTATCAAATGCTTTAAAAAAAATTAGAGCTGGGATTATTTTGTCATTTGGAGTTGTTGTAGACCATGTTTGTTGATATTTAGTGCCTTTTCATGACTTTGAAATTAATAATATTGGTCTAAGAGAAGAGGCAAAACCCCGCCCCCCCCCCCCCCCCCCCCCACTGTCCGGTAAAGGGGTACTTTTCGTGCGACAAAGTCCGGCTTGAGAATTGTAAAAAAAGGGGTATATTAACTTTTCACCCGGACATTTCTTTAAAAAGGGGGTGTTTTTCTTTTTTTCTCTCGTCTCTTTGGACTCCTGAGAAATTATTCCGAATTTAGGGGGTACATTGAGCATTTTTCATAATTTAGGGGTTCTCCAAGGCAGGAAAAGCCCGCGAAAGGGGGGTTTCGGAAATGTTGGCAGTCATCAGATAGGGGGTGCTTTCAAAAAGAGGGAACGAGCATACCCTAAATAACACTGAGGGGGGGGGGGGGGGGGGCCGGGGGCAAAACATGCAGGCTGCCATCTTGGATTGTAATGTAGGCATGCATTATAATCCAAGATGGCAATTTTTTATTGATCGGCTCAAAATAGCCCCCGATCCGATGAACGGTTAGAGGCCTACATCTATCAGACCATACATTTTTCCGAGGATCCCAGCGATTATCCAACCAGGGAGGTGTTTCACAAAGACCCTAAGTTGGACTTAACCATTATGGAAAGCTGTTAGCATCATTGAAAATATTTTGTAAAAGTTATTTTAAAAGCCATAAAATGTTGATTCAAGTTATTTATATTTTCTATTATCAAGGAGATTTCATGTTCTTGATGTAGAATTTATGGTAAGTTTAAAATACTTGAATTTTTGCTTATGAATATATTTTATTTTAAGGCTACAAATGGCTCTCCATAATTTTTAAGTCCAACTTAGAGTAAAGTTCTTTTTGAATAATTTGATATGTCCCTAAATTACCATGATAACATAACTATATCATAGTTATATTGTTGTTTACTAATTATGTTATTACTTTTCACTTTAATTCAGTGATAGATTAAATTATTCAAAAAACATATTCATATGGACACTTGGCATTCCATACCTAGTCGGTGGATTAAACCATGGACTAAAGTTAGTCCGCTCTTGAGAATACCACCGAATTCACAAAGGAGGTTTACATTTAACCCATGGTTTAAACCTTCATTTACATAACCCATGGTTTAAACCATCATTTACATAACCCATGGTTTAAAAATTAGCGCAAAATGCGTGTACCTTACCTTGCGCGCTTCTAATATTGGACCTCTTGACTGTGTTACGCTTATTTTCAGCTAATTTTAAACCATGGGTTTAACCCTCGCTCAGTACAACAAAAAGTCAACCATCAGCAGTCGCGAGATTGAATGAAGGTTTAAACCTCCTTTGTGAATACCACCCAATGTGTCTACTTTATTTCAAGCAATACTGTACATGCTATGCTGTTATATCCCTCAGGCCACACCTTCTCCCAAGGACCCTAAGAGAGAGATCATCAACGATGGAGCTTCTTGGACTATTATCAGTACAGACCGGGCAGAGTACAGCTTCTATGAGGGCATGGGACCCGTTAAGATGCCTGTAACACCGGTACCACTTGTATCAGACTTACATGTAAGCACTAGATTCACTTATACTAGGTGTACTAGAATATGGGATGGGGTGTTTAGATAAAGAGTTGAAACTATTATCAGTACAGACCGGGCAGAGTACAGCTTCTATGAGGGCATGGGACCCGTTAAGATGCCTGTAACACCGGTACCACTTGTATCAGACTTACATGTAAGCACTAGATTCACTTATGCTAGGTGTACTAGAATATGGGATGGGGTGTTTAGATAAAGAGTTGAAACTATTATCAGTACAGACCGGGCAGAGTACAGCTTCTATGAGGGCATGGGACCCGTTAAGATGCCTGTTACACCAGTACCTCTTGTATCAGACTTACATGTAAGCACTAGATTCACTTATACTAGGTATACTAGCACATGGGATGTGGTGTTAAGATAAAGAGTTGAAACTATTATCAGTACAGACAGGGCAGAGTACAGCTTCTATGAGGGCATGGGACCCGTTAAGATGCCTGTTACACCAGTACCTCTTGTATCAGACTTACATGTAAGCACTAGATTCACTTATACTAGGTGTACTAGAATATGGGATGTGGTGTTTAGATAAAGAGTTGAAACTATTATCAGTACAGACAGGGCAGAGTACAGCTTCTATGAGGGCGTGGGACCCGTTAAGATGCCTGTAACACCGGTACCTCTTGTATCAGACTTACATGTAAGCATTAGATTCACTTATACTAGGTGTACTAGAATATGGGATGTGGTGTTAAGATAAAGAGTTGAAACTATTATATTTGGGTGTAAGGGGGGGGGGGGGTTGTCATGTTTGAGATGAGTGCAGAGAGCTGTGTGATGTGGGTTCACCACACCCTTTTACCACCAGCTGATACATGATTACATTTGTTAGTAAGGGGGGGGGGGGGGGTTGTCATGTTTGAAAAGAGTGCAGAGAGCTGTGTTATGTGGGTTCATGACACCCTTTTACCACCAGCTGAAATATGATTACATTTGGGTGTAAGGGGGGGGGGGGGGGGGTTGTCATGTTTGAGATGAGTGCAGAGAGCTGTGTGATGTGGGTTCACCACACCCTTTTACCACCAGCTGATACATGATTACATTTGTTAGTAAGGGGGGGGGGGGGTGTCATATTTGAGAAGAGTGCAGAAGGCTGTGTGATGTGGGTGCACGTACACCCTCTTACCACCAGCTGATACATGATTAAATTTGTTATTAAGGGGGGGGGGGGTGTCATGTTTGAGAAGAGTGCAGAGCTGTGTGATGTGTGTTCACGACACCCTTTTACCACCAGCTGATATAAGAATACTCATGTGTGTAGGGGGGGGGGGGAAGTTGTCATATTTGAGAAGAGAGCAGAGAGCTATGTGATGTGGGTTCACCACACCCTTTTACCACCAGCTGAAATATGATTACATTTGTGTATAAGGGGGGGGGGGGGTGTCATGTTTGAGAAGAGTACAGAAGGCTGTGTGATGTGGGTTCACCACACCCTTTTACTACCAGCTGATATAAGAATACTCATGTGTGTAGGGGGGGGGGGGGGGAGTTGTCATATTTGAGAAGAGAGCAGAGAGCTGTGTGATGTGGGTTCACCACACCCTTTTACCACCAGCTGAAATATGATTACATTTGTGTATAAGGGGGGGGGGGGGGGGTGTCATGTTTGAGAAGAGTGCAGAGCTGTGTGATGTGGGTTCACCACACCCTTTTACCACCAGCTGATATAAGATTACATCTGTTTGTACGGGGGGGAGAGTGATCACTTTTGAGATGAGTGCAGAGAGCTGTGTGATGTGGGTTCACGACACCCTTTTACTACCAGATGATATATGTTTACACCTGTGTGTAGGGGGGGGGGGGGGGTTGTCATATTTGAGAAGAGTGCAGAAGGCTGTGTGATGTGGGTGGACGAACACCCTTTTACCACCAGCTGATATAGGATTACCCCTGTGTGTAGGGGGGGGGGGGTTGTCACATTTTAAAATGAGTGCAGAGAGCTGTGTGATGTGGGTTCACGACACCCTTTTACCACCAGCTGATACATGATTACTCCTGTGTGTAGGGGGGGGGGGGGAGGATTGTCATGTTTTAGAAGAGTGCAGAGAGCTGTGTGATGTGGATGCATGTACACCCTTTACCACCAGCTGATATATGTTTACACTTGTGTGTATGGGGGGGGGGGGGGGGGTGTCATTTCTGACAAGACTGCAGAAGGCTGTGTGATGTGGGTGGACGAACACCCTTTTACCACCAGGTGAAAATGAAAAAATGTCTTTGACTTTTAACATCCTAATGAGCCGTGCAGAGCATTCCACTTAGGTCACTTTGTTGTTCACGATGCTCATAAGGTCAAAGGTCAAAGGTCAGATAATAACAAATTTTCTTGAGCCACCAAACCTGCACTCACACAGAAAATGCTTGGATTGTTCCTTGATAGTGGATACATGCTGTAGCGAGGCATATGGTTAAAGGTCATTGGTTCTCGTTTATTGAGTCATCATTGGTACTCGTTTATTGAGTCATCGTCGGTACTCATTTATTGAGTCATTGTCGGTACACATTTATTGAGTCATCGTCGGTACTCATTTATTGAGTCATCTTTGGTACTCATTTATTTAGTCATCGTCGGTACTCATTTATTGAGTCATCGTCGGTACTCATTTATTGAGTCATCGTTGGTGCTTTCAACCTGTGAATGCCTCCTATCCACACTGATAGTGGAGTCATTTTCGTTGAAGCATGTGTTTAATATAAAATTGCTTTAACGCCGTTGTTATCTCCCTTTGTATTCACAGCTCAATGGTGGTGGTGATGTAGCAATGCTAGAATTGAGAGGAGAGAACTTCACACCAGACCTCAAAGTTTGGTTTGGTTGTGTGGAAGCAGAGACAATGTACAGGTAAGCAACCCCATTCAATGTAAGGAGATGATGATGATGATGATGATGATGGTGGTGATGATGATGATGATGATGATGGTGATGGTGATGATGATGATGATGGTGATGGTGATGGTGATGGTGGTGATGATGATGATGATGGTGATAGTGATGGTGATGATGATGATGATGATGGTGATGGTGATGATGATGATGATGATGGTGATGGTGATGGTGATAGTGATGGTGAGGTGGTGGTGGTGGTGGTGGTGGTGATGATGATGGTGATGGTGGTGGTGATGGTGATGGTGATGGTGATGATGATGGTGATGATGGAAATGAGGGTGGTGGTGATGATGATGATGATGGTGCTGATGATGATGATGGTGATGATGGTGATGATGGTGATGATGGTGATGGTGATGGGGATGGTGATGGTGATGGGGATGGTGATGATCGTGATGATGATGATGATGATGATGGTGATGATGGTGATGATGATATCAATAATGATAATCATAATTCTTACAATTAGATATCGATAGAGTTTAAATGAGTGCTTTATCTGTGTGTTATGAAATTTCTTCTCATTAGGTGGTCTGTCATTGACAGATCACCTATTGATTTCATCAAAAGTTTCTTTCTTTATTTTTTTCTTTAAAAATGTGTGTTTGTTTTTTTTGTTCCGCATTAGGAATAATGACTTGCAGTTTCTTAACCTCTGTCCCATTCATTAATAAATGTGTTGTGTTTTGTTCCACATTAGGAATAATGACTGTATGCTGTGTGTGGTACCAGACATCTCAGCCCTGTGTGGGAATGGAGGTACATCCAGCGGCCGACCCAGGTTAACATCATGCTTGTCAGGCAAGATGGGATCATCTACCCCACAGGTCGCATGTTCACCTATACCCCTGAACCCTGCCAGACCAACCACTGCAGAGCCATAGATAACATCATGAGACGAGAACGACTTCCAGACATAAACATGTTAGGCCAGGATGGTATGCAGCAGGCCATAGAGGGCGCTATGGGGGGTTCGCTCGCCATGTCCGGCGAGATGATGGCGTACAACACCATGAGGATGAGCGGAAAATGAGAGTCATCGTCAGTCGGTACTCGTTTATTGAGACATTTCCAGAAAGAAGGTAACCTGTGGCGTCGGCGGAAGACTCAAAGCCTTTTCTTAGAAACACTCTTTAACCATATGCCTCGCTACAGCATGTATCCACTATCGAGGAACAATCCAAGCATTTTCTGTGTGAGTGAGTGCAGGTTTGGTGGCTCAAGATAGTTTGTTATTATCTGACCTTTGACCTTTGACCTTATGAGCATCATGAACAACAAAGTGACCTTAGTGGAATGCTCTGCACGGCTCATGAGGATGTTAACAGTCACAGACATTTCAATTTCACCTGGGCTTATACAAGGTGAATTTGTCTCGGCACTGTTTATCCATGGAGAAAAAGGGAGTACAGAATCTTGCAAGTATCATGGGTATGGACTTGCATGAGAAAGTCAGTATTTGAATGTTTTTAATGTGGAAAAGGACCCTGAATGGCTTTTATTTTGTATTTCATTTCTGAAATCAAAATCAAATGACAGAATTGCCATTCATATGATGGAGAAAGCTTTTGATATCTCCATTTTGTATCAGCCAAAAAAATAAGTATAAATATTACATGCCTGCCTTATGACCTATAAATACACAATATACTGTGTAACTGAACTGTGGGTGGAGGATTTGATATTCTCTATTTGTAAAATGTTCCTTATTTTGTGGTTTAAAGGTACTCTTGATTTCTGGTAATGAACGAAGATAAAATTCACACAAACCAAAACAAAATGTGGAAAAAGGATGTTTGTATGCCAAAGTAATTTGATTGTCTAGTACATCCTCTCAATAGCAAGAATCATTTTTTGATAAATACTGAATAATCACTGATTTTGATGCTCCTTTTTGTCGGTCATTTACATATTAATCACATGGGACTTATTTTCGGCTTTACATTTGATATTTTAGGTTTGAATGAAATCAACCCTTCTTTTTTATATCCAGAAAGTGCCTGAAAATGTGCCAAATGTAGCTGAAAATGTGTTTTGCTCTGATGGGCTGGATGAGGTGTCATCTACCTCCATCCCTCTGGGCTCTGGGCTAACATTATACCAAACAAACTTTTCACTTTTTCATTCTTCAATATTGGGAAGTATTTAAATGTCATGATTTTGTTAACAATTTGCTGGTCCAAAAATGCATAATAATACATACTGCACACGTGCACCATTTTCAAGATTCAAAATATTCAATTTAACTTTACCCATAAAAAACATACAAAATACATTAGGAATATGAAAAAGACCAGTAGAACAACAAAATGCTTGTGTGGATGGTGGTCCTTAAAGATAAAATAGAAAACAATCAACAAATACCGTGGAAATACAGATTCCAATTAATCAATACTTGAAATGAAGTACCCAAAGTAAACACATGTACACAATTTATACATTCATATGCATTTGCTCACGCACGGAGATAAAGTCAAATGCATCAACCCTAAGTAACCACCAAATCTGGTAAATTGTTTATTAAAGATAAAGGCCAGTTATGGTCATGCGATTGGATTGTGAAAGAAACGTTGTGGAATCGATCAGAAAAGGTTGATCATCTAGCATAATAGTCTTGGTGTGTACTGCAAGGTTCTGGAATCATCTAAATGATAAGAAATTTGGCCCAGTCTTGGTAAAGTTGCAAGCACTGCACACAGAAAGATGTATATGGGACTACGCGACATGTGCGCGATGCGTGCGAATTATCTATCAGGTCCAAATAGATATAATAACTTACCAAATATATCAATTAGTAGGCGGTTTCTCGGTAAAATTTGTATCATTACGTATTAGTCAAAACATATTATTTCACATGATTGGTAATAAGAGCTTCCATTTCATTTTTTGAGAGGGGGGTTCCAAAACTGGTCTTTTACCTTTAAATAACAAGGACAATTTTTGTTTAAGTCTAGATAAAGTCGACTTGATCTCATTTGTTCATCTAATTGGTTCCACAATTGTATCCCAGCATATAAGATAACATGTTCAGTGACAATATAAATTTTACTTTAAATAAATTATGAGCGACCCAAAAAACTTTCAGCCTTTTCCCCACATGACCTGATAATCTAAATGTACATGTACTTCAAAAAGCTGCCATTGCAAAAGAAAACATGCCATGTGTTAATAGATGGGGAGAACAACAACAAAGGCCTCTTACTTCACTCCCTTATCTGTGTCTTATAAAATCCATAATTATAAAGTGCATGTGTTTATATTGTTTTATTTCACAGTAACTTTTATTTTTAGATAGTTGAGCAAGTATTTAGACTGTTTTTTTTTGTGGCACGTTTTTATTACCAGAACTCAAGATGACCTTAATATGATTTTATATACACAAGATAAACTCTTGTACAATAGGTGTTTATTCCATGACAAAGATATTATGCATATATTTCCTTCCATGCGATAGTACACACTGCCAGTACATTTGGAATAAAACAAGTAATCTATTTTTGTAATGCAATATTTCTTCTTTAATTGATTTAAGCATATTTTGCAACTCATGCGTTATTGCATTATCTAGGGAGTGGGTTTGAGCGATACAGCAGTATTAATGTATAAATGTACACTGCATGCGAGCTGAGGGTGACTTTAAAAATTGCGTAATTTTGGTATGAAGCGTTACTTATTATCTTCCTTCTGCTGTACTAACTCTCTAACATGCAAAAAATCCTGAACAAATTCTCAAACCACAAAGATATTAATGGTTTTCTAAGAAGGGGACACTGGTCAACACCCTCTAACAGTGATCAACAGTAAATTCTCCCAACCATTTTTGAATTGTCCTAACCGTTTTCCATGAAAAAAGGACATAAAACAGGCACTTAAGAATCTGTTAACACTTAAATGTCTGGAATGGTATGTAGAGCCAATTTATTGCTTTGTGATGATTAACATTCACCTAAAATGTAATAAAATTGTAATGATATAGTTGGGTGAATTAAGGAATCGATCAGATCACTTTTTCCCAATTTGTATCATTAATAATAACAATTAAAGATAATCTGAAAATTTGAGTGAAAGGGGTCCATTATTCATGGTACAAATTGGGGAAAAACTGATCTGATCGATTCCTTAATTCTCCCAACTATATTGTTACAATTTAATTACATTTTAGGTGAATGGAAATCTCACAAAGCAATAAAATGGCTCTACATTCAATTCCAGACATTTAAGAGTTGACAGATTTTTTATAGCCTGTTTTATGTCTTTTTTTCATGGAAAAATGGTTGGGAGAATTTACTGTTAATCACTGTTAGAGGGTATCATACATCAACGCCTTCAAAGAAAACCATAGATATCTTCGTGGTTTGAGAATTTTTTCAGGATTTTTTGCATGTCAGAGGGTTTGTACAGTAGAAGGAATATAGTAAATAACATTTTATACAAAAATTAAGCAATCATTTCATCAACCTTCAACAATGTTACCAAGTCACTTTAAGGAATCGATCATATCAGTTTTTCACGATTTGTACCATGAATAATGGTCCGTTTTCACTCAAATTTTTAGATTATCTTTAAGTAGACATCTAGCATTGAAGTCACTACCTTAGCACCACTATCTCTCATCTAAACAATGTTACCAAGTCCCTTTAAAGGTACTATGTCCCATTTGCAGGCCCAAAAAATGAAAAAGTTAAATTCCAACTGCATTTGAAAGATAATACTAATTTAGAACTTCCCTAAAAAAGGTGGGGCTTGAAAATGTCTTCAAGTGGGAAAATAATGACTATTAGTTGTCAAATCGACTTTAGGGCTATAGAGCCCAAAAGTAATAGTCTTGATTTTCAGACAATCGTACCAAATGGTCATACGTTTTATGCTGCGCAAAGATTCAATCAGTTTAATCTTGGCCATCACAAGAAGTGGGTTATTGATGTAGACAAATGCTCGTTTACCCTTTACAACTCTTGTCATGTATGTTATTACCAAAGAAGAAAAAAGCCAGTCAGTCACTCAATAGTGTCTGACAGTGAAGTCTAGCAAGTAAATGGGTTTCCTTGCATAATTTGAATATGAGGACACTGCTAACGTTTAAAATTCACAGATAGGACATACATGACATATTCATAATTCCTGCAAAATTTTACAGAATTTGAGGTTGGCTGCAAAAGGGACATAGTACCTTTAAACATGGTGGCCCATGCTCATGAGAGGTGCTTAACTTTATGCTAGGTTTATTCCTTGCCTCATTTCGTTCATAACATAACAGTGATCATATGCATATTCATTGTGGGTGAAAAGAAAAAGGACAGTAAAACACAGTACACATACAAAACCTGTGCATTAAACCACCATGGTTTACTAACACAGGTACCGGTATGTATGAGGCTTTACAATGTTCAAGTGTAGCAATACAAAGGCAGACTGGAGCAATATAAGAATACTTGGGTAAAAAAGTAATATATATTTTTAGACAAAAACTAAATAGAGAATTGAAATCATTTGAAATGACCAAAGTTTTGATAGTAATGGAAGTTACTTCATGAAAATGGTATTTCTTGTTGTGTTGGTTGAAAAAGATAGAAGAAACAAACATTTGTTGAATATTCATCATTATTGGCCCTTTTCTTTTTTTCATTCATCGATGCTGTCCCCAGTGTTCACAGCCTATATGATTTGAATATACATGTGATGACCAACAATGTGTGATATCATGTTCATTACATTGAGCATGTTTGAATATTCATGAATATCAACTGTTTTTATTTGAATATTCATCAATATCCCTGCATATATGTGAAAGTTCATCATTATCAGCTATTTACTATATTTATTTTGTTTCTGAAGAGGAAAAAGAATTGGGATATGAAGGGAACACACTGATATGTTACATGTATACCTACCGGCCTGTTAGATATGCTCTATTGATGTTACTGCTTACATATTTTCCTGTTCTAGACTTGTTTATAACCTATGTAATATGTTAGTTCATGCATTGAGGGAGCAAAACGGCCTTGATTGTATGCAAGATGACTCTAAAAGATAAAGACCCGTTATGGTCATGTAATTGCATTGTGAAAGAAACGTTGTGGAATCAATCAGAAAAAGGTTGATCATCTAGCATATAAGTATTGGTGTGTACTGCAAGGTTCTGGAATCATCAAAATGATAAGAAATTTGGCCCAGTCTTCGTAAAGTTACAAGCACTGTACACAAAAAGATGTATATGGGACTACGCACACGTGCGTGACACGTGCGTTTATCTCTCACATACCAATAGATAAACTAATTTACCAAATATATCAATTAGTAGGCGGTTTCCCGGCAAAATTTTTATCATCATGTATTACTGAGTCAAAACATATTCTTGCACATGATTGGTAATAAGAGCTTCCATTTCATTTTTTGAAATTGGGGCGTTTCCAATACTGGTCTTTACCTTTAAAGACCACTTTGGGGCTCGCGTACAATTGTATATTTATCCAAGTCCATTGCATAAGAAATTGACATTCAAGGGAATTTGACTATGGAGTCATGAATCAAAGAACCTTATATGTCAAGTTCCTTACAAAACTACAGTATTTTTTTGGACCGTACAGCAAGGCTTTTCGTTCCTTTTTTTTTTTTAGGGGGGAGGGGGCAGTGCTCTTGCTGGGCACAAAAATTTTCATAATATATAGCAGAACATTTTTTGGGTTGTTATGCTTATGTTTTAAAACAGTAAGAAGTACATGTATATAGAAATCGTTTAAACACAAAATATAGCAAAGTTTTGGAGTAATTTACAAGAAATTACACTCTTTGCCTTCAAATTAATGTTATAAACCCACAATCTAACTCTCTATCAAACCCAATGAAAATGGGTTTTTTCTTTCAATGAAATGAATATGTTACGATCCTGTTGGAAAAAGAAAGCACATGTCAATAAGTTTTGTATTATAATTTCAAACTTGCCAATGCTTTTAATTACTTTTTTTCTTTGTTCTTATATTTCTTGAATTTTTCCTTTTTTTAGTATGCTTCTTGTAAGAAATTGTGTATTGGTAATACACATAATTGTTTTGTTCCCTTGAATTAAGACATGAAAATACTGAATTTTGCTGTATTATGATTATAGTATAGTGTAATGATTTGATTGAAAGCAATACCAATTATTTACTTATTTAATATTATACCTATTTCAGGAACCATGCATTAATAGGAACCATTATCAAACCACAACGAAAAGGATGACTTAACATGATTTCATTTATTTGTATGAGAAAAA